CAAACGGAGACGTAACAATACTTTCTGTCTGCAGATCAATTACTCACTGTCTACACACATCTTGTCACGTCACGCCGTGACCATCTTATGTATACCAGACTACCCTATATCTAGTAAATGCTAGGGCATTCACGAAGGAACAAAATACTTCTAGAAATGTGGCGTGACACTAGTCACGTGACCTCGCTAACGCAACAATATATATATATGTGTGTGTGTGTATTTGCATGTGTTCTGCATGCAGCTCGTGGCAGTGTTATAAATAAGACGTGTAAAGGCTGTTTTAAGCTTACTCTAATCCTATAAATAAAAAGGCCTATATTGCTGTGATTCTTTTTCTTTGTGTCATGCCCTCCTGGAGTGGAGTGATACTAATTTCAAGAATTGTTACAGAATTGTACAAGTTAGTATGAGTTAGAAGGTTATCTAATTTGTATAAGATCATTGAAGTAAGTAATCTAGGAATTAGCCAGCCACATGAGGTGTAACCTCATGGTCTAACTCTAAATAAAAATCATACCTCAGGCTTAAACGAATTAGTTCACGAGATATAGGTAAAACGTATAATTGCTGGTTGCTACTTGACAATATTATTAATCTTGAAGTGGTTTAATTTTGAAATATTGCAATTTTTTAGGATTATTTTTTTTCTTCTTCTGATTCTTATTTCTAATTCCTTTATTCATTGAAATTAATAATATTGATATTTATATTACGTTATTTATTAACGCTAGTATCAAATCCTGGCCAGGCAATATTTATTAGCGGTTTTTACGTTTTTTGTTTTTTTTTGTAAGTGATAAAACTTGTATTCCAATTGTTTGAAAGTTTTTATTATTTCTCTGATTGTTAAAGTTTAATAAATTCGTTTTGTTGAGCCTGATTGTAGTGGCATCTTAATTTAGTCAGTTACATATTATCCCAAACATCATGTGTTGCTGACGAATGTACATGCTGTGAAAAGTGGGAAGCACAAGATAGTAAAGACTACCAACATAAAGTACAGCAGATGTGATGAAGAACTAATATGGTTCAACACTCATCTGAAAGATAGTCATGTAAAAGGTATGAATTTGAAATCAGTTATTTAGTGGATCCAAAATAATGCAAAAAGATCCTCATGGCAATCAGTTGCTCCATATAACTCGAATACAAAGATGTATTCGGCAGAGTGGGATTCATTGTACTTATAATATAATTTTCATGTTAACTTGGAAGATACTAGTGGGCAGAAGCAATAACTAAGATCGGCGCTTTCGCAATATTTTCATTACACAGCACTCTGTCTGTACAGTCTTCCAATAGCTGGACACTTAGGTATTAATATGACACTTAAGTGGGTAAAATAACACTTATATTAGGTTGGGTGCCAGAGATCTGTGGAGAGTTGGTGAAAACACGTGAGCTCTGTTTTTATGACAAAGGTGTACAAAAGAAACAGCATGGGCAACTACAGCAGTACTGAGCTGAAACACCACTGAAGAGAATGGTTGTCAGTGTGCTTGATCCTCTGCCACAAAATAACAGTGAGAATATATACATAATGGTTGTAATAGATTATTTCACGAAGTTACCAGAAACATACGATGTTCCTAATCGGAAGAAGAAACTGTAACAAAGAAACTCGTCAATAAGTTAATTTTAAGATTTTGCATACCTATGAAATATCATTCAGATCAATGACAAAAATTTGAATCAGCATTATTTAGGCAAAATGTCTCAGATCCTTTGTAAAAAAGAACCAGAACAACACACACTGTTAAATCAATTGGCCGTTTATGAAAATGAACATAAAAAAACATTAGATCAATGTATTCTACTGTTATTGATGAGTTATAGTACAGCAGTACATGAAGTTACAAGCAATACATCATTATCACTGATGTTTGGGAAAGAACTTATGTGCCATTGGACGTACTGTACTCTCATCTGGAGAATAGTCACTCTGAAGAGTCTTACACGGAAAAAAAAGAAAGCTCCAAAACACCATTAACTTTACATAGAAAATGACTTAAGTCAGCTAGTAACGAAATATCAAGTCATTATGATGTTAATGCTGATAAGAATGGATTCCATTGAGGTGACATGATATGGCTGTACGATTCACGCCATAAGAAAGAACAGATTTTAAAGTTAAACAAGTGCTGGGAATGATCATATGTTGTAATGAAAAGAATCAATGATGTGATTTACAGAATCAAGAAGGATAAGCAATCCAAGCCAAAGGTCATCCACCATAATTGTCTTTGGAAGTACGTCAGAGAAAGAATGACTGAGTTGGTAACTCCAAAGAAGAATTTGTCAACAGAAACTCAGCCTGCTGAGAAACCCAGGGTTCCTGTCTAGAACACCTCCAGAGAATCCTCAAGGATGAAGCTGCCAGTGAATTTAACTAGATCAGCGAAAAACAGACAGTGACGACAAGAGGCCATCCCATCTGTGTTTCACGAGCCTCAGAAGAGAAAAACACCAAAAAGACTTGGTAAGTGGACAGTTTGGTGTAGTGTTTTATTTTTGTACTAAGACTGTTCCAGGGACTTCACAATTTAGGAAGAAGCCAGTGCTCTAGACTATATTAATGTTTTACTTCAGATGTTAGCTCGAGGGCACATAGCGCTAAAATCAAATAAATTTGTTGGAGTAGACCTATAAAGTTTTAGATTTGACATCACGAAAACCTAGTTACTTCTGGGAGTATCGAGGGACGAGACTAGTTTATAAATACTGTTGCGTCAGCGAGTCACATGACCACCGTGACGCAACGTTTCTAGAACTATCATGTACTTTGGCGAATGTTCAAGTTCTTACTAGAAATAGGGTACGCTGGTATATAAAAGAGAG